TGTTTCTTCCTAAACCTTGCATGGAATGCAGTCACGTGGTTGGTTAAAACCAGCTCCTGACAGATCCCAGCAACTTACAGATGAACCTGAGTGAACTTTGCTCATTACCATGCTAAAGTCTCCACCCCAGAGGGGCTATAGCTTCATTACCATAACATGCAACCTTTGTGTCAGCACGATGACTCACTGCAGCTATGCGACTGGGACTCCTCCTCTGCATGTGATGATGCACCCTCTCCATCACCCATAAAACCCTCCTGTCCCTTTTCCTAGGGAAGACACTGCTTTGGAGAATCCTCCCAGGGTCCTCCTTACTTATGCCAAGTAATAAAACTCCTATTGATCAACACCTGTGTTCTCATGAATAGTCGTTTGTTACCAAGTGAATAAACCCCGGTTTTTTTCGAGTAACAGAAGCAGGCGTGTGTGGTTTCCTCTGATAACAACCAAATACATGACATTTGTCCACATCAATCAATCCCGCTGCAGTTCTCCAGCACTGACTGCGTGTTCAACAATCCGACTCAATTCTGACACTAACTACCCAGAGTCAGGCTCAGCCTCTACACGGGGCACCAGGCTCAGCAGCCGATGGAGCTTCTGGGCTACTCACATTTCTACCTGGCTGACTACCAATGCTGGGGTTCTCTAAAGCCCCTTTAAATTTAATAATTCCCTAGAACAACTTCCAAAATTTAGAAAAGTGCTTTACCTATGATTGTCAGTTTATTATAAAGGATACAATTCAGGAATAGCCCAAATGGAAGAAACTAATAAGGCAAGATATGGGGACAGTGACTGTGCAGGGCTTCCATTGTTAAAGAAAAAATTCACTAATGATACAAGCTTGATACCCACTGCACTGGGATTTTGCAGCAGGAGAGAGAGAGATGAGGCTCAAACTTGAATACAGCATGGGCAAGTGGGAATTTATAGGCAAGGAGAAGCTAGAGGTCGGTGGATGGATGGAAAATTATGAAGAGGAAACCTCAGGGGCAAGAGGGATTCTGGTTAAGCCACACTAACAGGATTCTTGCTCAAGATAGCCTGGGGTGATGAGACTTACTTGGACAACAGTGGAGGAGGATAAACCTGGTATTGTCTTGCTATACCAACTCGGCAGGGTCCTTTGCTAAAATTAGATTTTACAAAGAAGTCCAGATGGGTCTAGGAAGAGGTTTGGGAGCCTGACTAAAATGTGGTCAAGCAGAGAATCTTTGCCACCATGCCCTCTCCCACAAGGCCAGTGTGTTCACCCACCCCAAAGCTCTCCCAACCCCGTCATGTAGGGGTTTCTATGGAGGCTTCATGATGTAGACATTATTGATTAAATAATGGTGATTGGTCCCCATCCTGAAGTTACCCAGCTACCACTCCTCAACCAAGAGTCGCCTCATTAGCATAAACTCAGGTTTGTTTGACAGAGACTCCTGAATAACAAGACAGCCTATTGCTCAGGAAATTACCAGGGTCTGAGGAGCTCTGTGTCTGGAACTGGGGGTAAAAACCAAAAATATGTATTTTTTATTATGCCATAAGGCATAAATAAATTTTTATTCTGCTACAAGGCATAAATTTATTTAAAAATAAAATTTTTTATTATGTCACAAGGCAAAAACCTAGACTCTGGGATTGCTGAATCCAGACTCTTTGTGGGGCTCTCTTAAAGAGTTTTGTGATCCTAAATATTTCAAAATGGAGTCACTTATGGCAAGTGACTCCGCCCACTGTGAAATTGCTGACCCCTCAAAATGATAAACATAGGTATAATGGACTGAGGTAATCAGATAACATCTGCTGTGGCCACACACCCCCAAGACCTGACAAGAAAGTGAAATCAAAAGGTGGCTGAGATCATGACCATGGCCACTCCTGCAGAGAGCCATCAAAACAGCGAAGACACTGACCATGGCAAGATACCTGCAGAAGCTCTGCCCAAGAAAGCTCTGAGGCCTCCTCATGACATCCACAGCAGCCCCTGGAAGCTTTGCCCAAGAACAGCGACACCACTCAACAGCATTTTGAGGGAAACCCAGAGGCATGCTAACCTAAACAACAGAAATGGATTTTCATTTTGTTTTGTTTTGCTTTGGGACAGGGTCTCACTCCAGTTGCCCAGGCTAGACTGCAGTGGTGCAATCTCAGCTCACTGCAGCCTGACTTCCTGGGCTCAGGCGATCCTCCCATCTCAGCCTCCCAAGTACCTGAGAGTACAGGTGCATGCCACCATGCCTGGCTAATTTTTTTTCTGTATTTTTAGTAGAGACGGCCTTGCCATGTTGGCCAGGCTGGTCGTGAACTCCTAGGCTCAAGTGATCCACCTGTCTAGGCCTCTGAAAGCACTGGGATTACAGGTGTAAGCCAGCGTGCCCAGCCCAGAAATGTATTTTCATACCACTCAATGTGTGGTATTTGTTATAGCAGCCCAAGCAGACTAATACACTCTGCCATCAAAATATATCAATAATCCAATCATTTCTTGCCACCCTGCTGCCACGGTTGTGGGAATACTGCCAATGCTATTGCCTGTGGAGTCAATTCTCCTGTGTAGTCAAGGGGACTCCCATGTGATTCAGAGTAAAAATCAGCACCCTCACAACAGCCTGAATGACCCCATATAGATCAAAACTTTGTCACCTCTCTGCCGTCATCCCCTATGAGCTGCTCCCTGGCTTTAAATACCCTGCCAGACACATGCAGCCTCAAAGCCTCAGCAACCACTGTTGGTTTGTCTAAGACATTCTTCCCATGTACATGTGAAGGGCTCACTCTCTTACCCCCTTGAGTTCCTTACTCAGAAGTTAGCTCAGTAAAGCTGTCCCCAACCACTCTACTGAAAACTGCACCTCCTCATCACACCCTATCCCCGTTCCCTTCATTTTTCTCAACATTTGGCCATCTAACATAATATCCATTTCACTAAATGTCTGGCTCTCCAACGTCAGATCCACAACGGTTATCCGTGTTTATCTGCTGTGTTCACACATAGATCCTGAGTGCCTACACAGAGCTTGACCCATAGTAGGTGCTCAGAAGATACCTACTGAATAAAGATACAAGGTGAGGTCCATCTGTGTGCTGGGCTTTGCACCAGTGTGTCGTGTCATCTCAGAGTTGAGTCTCACAACAGACCCCTCACATTTGCTCACCTATGGAGCAATGCAAGGGCCAGCACCCCCTCCTCCCCGAGACATCTTATCTTCTCTCCTAGCTGACGCCAGAGGTGACACTCTGATCTGTCACTGGCCAGCATAGAGAGGACCCTAGAAACGGCTGAGGGGCAAAGACGTGGAATAAATCCCAGAGTTTGCTGAATATTTTTCAGGATGTATCAACGTCAGGAACAGCTCAAATGCAGATCAAACCTGACAGCAAAGCTCTGAGGAGGAAAGAAGGCAAGAAGGGCATGGCAAGGGTGACATTCTGAATGGTGAGGCACCAGAGGAGCTGGGGAGGGAAGAGGCACAAACTGGGCTGGAAAATCCATCTGGCAACTTTTAACCTGAAGTTGGGCCTCAGAGCCTGAGTCTCTTGATGGATATGACTCCAGCTGGGCCAGGTATGATCAGGGTCCCCAATCCTTCTGTAGTTCCAGATCCACAGATTCACAGGCTCTCAGACCTGAAAGATGACACCCTGCCTCTTCAAGAGGAGATGGCTGACATGAGGAGAGCGGAGACACCACCCACAGTGATACTACTTGTAAAAGCCAAGGACTTGCAGCTTACTTTCTTCTTTTTTCTTTTTCCATGTTGAATATAACCTTAATACAGAGAGGTATATGATCAGTGACCCTTAAATTTCCTTTACAAATGAAGCTGTCCTGGAAACAGAATGCACAGTACCAGGCCTGGGGTCAAGGAAGAAAGAAGACAAAGGGGCCAATGTTCATTGGACCAGTAAGTCCAGGGCGCTATCTGATCGAGGGATCCTGGGGGCAGTGGGGGCTGATGAAAGAGGGTGCCTTTTCTGGGGCTCCCAGGCATGAATTGTCTCTGATAAGGGCTCTGCCACCTCCGCAGGCCTGCCATTTTCTCTTCCAGGCTCCAGGGAGTCACTCGTCTCCCATTTTTCCTGCCTGCTGCTATACGGAAGCAGACTGATTGTATGAGAACCAGTTCCAGCATTTTTGGTAGCCTTAGAATGAACCTGTTTGTTATGGCAGATGGTAAACAAGTTGTTGTGTCTCAGGTGTTGGTTCCCTAGGCAGCGGCTTTTTCTGCACACACGCCCCACTGTCTGTCACCTTCTCCCTGGCTGTGAGGCTCCCTGAGCAGCAGGAGCCCCTCCCACAGGTCCAGGTGATGCACTGGGCTGGGCTCAGCCCAGCAGGGTGGCCCCTTACCCTTTGCCCATGACTGGTTGGGTGTGGAAATATGACGCAATTCTGGCCAATGGAGAAAGGGACTTTACTCCCTGAAAAAAGACAAATGATCAGAATCATCTTTCCCTCCATCTTTTGGGCATTGCCAGGTGAAAAATGGGCCACTCGAGGCTGCTACAGCCATGGGAGTCCCTGCAGGGCAACAGTGCAGAGCCAGGACCAGTGCAATAAGAGAGCCTGCCTGAGTCCTTGCTGGCCTTGGTGAGCCACTAGACCCAACCTGAGCCACCCTCTTCCTGCCTTTCTGTTACGGAAACAACGGGTGTCCAGGTGCTGAAGCCTCTTTGGGTTTAGTTCAGCTTCTTGCAGCCACATGCATTTTTATGGAGCCATGAGCTCCTGTGTTCCACGTAGCCTAAGGTACCCTCATCTCCAGGCCATCTCCATGCTGTGAAGCACCTCCTCTGGTCTTCCCCAGAGACTTCTTGCCCCTTATTTTCTGGGTGTCATTACAAGACAATGTCCTATGGGGTGCACTGAGGTTTGACATCTCCCTGCCTCCAAATCCCTCCTCTTCCTGGGGTAGGAAGAGCTGCCCAGGGTTCTTGTTACAAGAGACCTTTATTTCTCAAGCAGGGGCAGAAAATTCAGGGCTCCCCTTCTACTCTCGCTGCTCGTAAGGTGGCTTTAAAGCACCAGTGAGTCCATGGCTTGTGTTGGAAAGTCTTAGTCTTTTCATCTAAAGAAATATCTCATTTTTAAACAGTTGTCTCTCTTGAACAGTGTTTAGTATTTAAGTGAGGTAAAATAATATCAAAAGTGAAAGTGAAATTCTCCATTTCAGTATAAAAGCTGATCCACAAACAGCAGAGCCCCAGACCTCACCTTGGCTTCAAGATGGCTTCGGTAAGTTTCCCAGAACTTTGCATTACTGACTCTACAGCAGGTGGGCAGCTCCCCGCTGGAAAGGCCTCAGTCTGGGCTCCTGGCCTGGGGCACAGCTCCAGAGCTTGCCTTTAGAAGGCTGTCATAGAAAACTGTATTTGTCTTTTAACAGTGCAACCGTCCAGTTGGACAGTGGGGCTCTGAGTAGAGCCCACCTCCTCTGTGTATCGGGCACAGACCCCCCATGTAGTAGAGAGCTGTGGGGTGCCAGTGGAGAAGGCTGTGGTCAGGTGGGTGATCCTGGGTGGTGGGAAGTGAGCAAATGCCACCATCGTCTGCTTCTGCTGAGAATGGGACTCAATTCCTTAACTCCAAACAGTGCTTTCTCTCTCCTCATTCCTCTGTAGTGTTACCCTCTTTAAAGGTGAATTCTCAGCAGCGTTCTGAATGCTGAAATCTCTCCTCCTATCAGCCCCCATGTACCGATGGGCAGAAGCTCCAGAGAGAGCAGGCTGAGCTCAGTGGTGTGTGACTGAAAAGGAAGTGCTGAACTCAGGCTATTACTAGAAATGAAACTATTCCAGTAAAGAGTCTTGCAAATTCTGAAGGGCAGCCCACTCCAACAGCACCTCCTGATTCTGGGGAAGGGCTTTATTGCTGCCAAAACAAATCAGGGCAGTTAACAGTGAGACATTTCTTTATTTAGGCCAAAGCTCATACTTCATTGGCCACCAGCTGCTGCTGCCAGTGCCTTGACTGTGGTTTTACACAGTCAGCATTATGGTTAAAAGTCCCTCTCTCTCCCCACATGGAGACCATCTCCGGGTGCTGCCGGGCCCTGATGCACAGAGGAGGAGCTGGGCAGGAGTCCTGGCCCTGCTCCTTTCCCCTCCCTCTTTCATGTCCGTTTCCTTTGCCCCATTCCATGCCACGTCCTTCACTGGATCCTGGAGGTGCAGGGATAGAGGGAGGGATGAAGGGATCGAGGGATAGAGGGAAGGAGGGAGGGAGGAGCTCACAGGATCCTGCCTGCCTGGAGCTCAACAGCCCAGAGGTGCATAGACAGGCAGAAGGAATTTCAGCTCAACCTGACTCCTGCAGAGAGGAGCGAAGGCCCCAGGAGTGGGGTGGCGGGTCAGCTGACCCAGGCTGGGGCCATCAGGGCAGCCTCTCAGGTGAGGGGGTCTGAGGGAGGGGAAGAGAAAGAGTGGGTGCAGGGAAATGAGGGAGGCAGAGAGACCCAGATGTGCAAAGCAGCAGAGGCCAGAGCCAGGGCTGTGGTGAGGGGCTGGGATGTCGCTCAGTGGGCCTGCAGGTGCAGAGCCCAGGGAGGGAGAGGAGGGTGAGGAAGGGCTGGTCAGGAAGGGCCTGGAGCTGCCCACAGGCTGTGTCCTGAGTCCTGAGGCCAAAGGAAGGTCATGGCCAGATGTGCCCTTGGGAAGGCTGCCTTGGGTCCTGAGGGGTTGGATATGGAGGGGCAGGGACAGGAGGCGGGGGCTGGTCAGGCGGCTGTAGGGGTCACAGAGGCAGGCATGGGGCTGCCTGAACCAAGTCATTGGGTGGGATATTAAAAGGACACCAACCAGGAGAAGCTTTTGGAGTCCACATGATTGGTTTTAGTGACTGATTATTGGCATGAGGAAGAGGGCAAAGGTGAGCAGACCCCAGGTCTATGATGGGACATCCTGGGATGAGGGAAGAGGAGGCTGTCACCCCCACTGCGGACAGGCACAGAGAGGGTGAAATGGAAAAATCTTCTGACCATGAGGCTATTACACCCTGCAGAGAGACATGGCAAAGTGGGGAGGAGTTGAGGAAGGGGAAGAAGGTGGGAGAGACAGGAACCGGGGTGAGGGGTGCTCAGGGAAGACCCAGCTTGGCCGCCTCCCAGCTGGGTGTTCTCAGGCAAACCCCTCCACCTCTCTGATCCTCAGTTTCCCCACCTGTGCAATGGGATGATCATGCCTTCCCCTGGGACTGTGGAGACGGTGCAGTTATCTTAGGGCAAGTTCCCACAGAGGCCTGTTCTGTGAGTGCAGAGCCCCCAGCTCTTGCTGTGAGCTCCTGTCTCCCAGAGCGTCATCTCCAAGAGATGTGTGTCCCGAAACTGGATGGGGCAGGGTCTGAGAAGGAGGTGGCTCTCAGGGCCATGGATAGGCACAGGGGACGAGGAGTGATGAGAAACCAAGGGTCAGTCTGCAGAGGGCAGAGAGCTCAAGACTCACCTTCCCAGCCCTGCTCCCAGCCTCAGAGCAAGTGCTGGTCCATGCAGGTTCCGGAGGACACACGCACATCCGCATCTTCAGCATGCACGCACGGCACGCACGGCACGCACGGCAGGCACGCACGGCACGGCAGGCACACACGGCACGGCACGCACTGCACGCAGCGTGCCACACATGCGCCCATATGGTCCTTGTCTCTCCCATGCTGCAGTATCATTTTCAAGGCTTCCAGTCCCCGGTGCCCCAAGTGAGGAGAGCCTCTAAAAGTGACAGCAGGGCTGGAGATCTCATGGGAGCTAGGAGCACATGAACATCAGCAAGGCGTCTCCAGGACGAGCTGCAGCTCCCCTAGCCAGGGTCTCTGCTCTCGCCTACAAGGTCGTATACACCATCTCTGACTTTTTTGTTGCAGCCACACCAAGAGCTGAAACCTGGAGACCTGATTGAGATTTTCCGCCTTGGCTATCAGCACTGGGCCCTCTATGTGGGTGACGGCTACGTGATCCATCTGGCTCCTCCAAGTAAGGACTGATGAATATATAATTTTCAAAATATTTATTAATAGGATCACGAGAGCCACTGAAAGAGAGTTAAGCAAGGGAAACGAGTTAGGAGACACATTCTTCTTAGAGGATGCTTGATAAGACTGTACACATATGTCCCATGGAGTAGACACTGGATTCCGTCAGTCCTGGCAGAATAGGAAAAGAGACCGTTGCCTCCCGCAGTGAAGCTGGACTGCTTCAGCCTTGGGATCTCTCTAGCTCAAAGTCAGTTACCTTGGCTTGCAGAGCCTCATACAACTTAAACCAGCCAGGTTTCTGAGGCCTCAAAGAAGAAAGTTCCTGAAAAAGAACAATAGTCCTCCATATTATATCCTTTGCCTCATATGTTTTCACAGAACAAAGTGTCTTGATATTATGTACTTAAGAGTCCTTAACGGAGGCAATTCTCACAGGTTTATACATTTAAAAAAAATTCTCATACAAATGCACAGTAAGCAAGGTCAATGATTTATTTACCTCATTAACAACAGAAGCAGCAAGATGACATACCCAGTTAAAAGCAGAATGAAGGAAATGATGTATGGACAGTCAATGAAAGGGGAAAAAAACAAATGCAGAGGCCAGGCACAGTGGCTCACGCCTGTAATCCCAGTACTTTGGGAGGCCAAGGCGGGCAGATCACTTGAGGTCAGGAGTTCAAGACCAGCCTGACCATCATGGTGAAACTCCGTCTCTACTAAAAATACAAATATTAGCCAGATGTGGTGGTGCACACCTGTAATCCCAGCTACTCGGGAGGCTGAGGCAGGAGAATCGCTTGAACCTAGGAGGTGGAGGTTGCAGTGAGCCAAGATCACAGAATGGTACCACTGCACTCCAGCCTGGGCGACAGAGCAAGACATCGTCTCAATCAACGACAACAATGCAGAAATGAGACAATGAGACTGCCAAGTTAGGTAGGTGCCGGCAGGTTCATGTCCTCTAGGGTAATGCCACTGTATAACTTTCAAAGTTCTCTTTTACCATTTACATCATCACTGGACAAAACCATTCCCATCACTATCAGAGCAAGATGTTTGCATCTTACTAGTTTTCTCCAAGCCTTCATCTCCCAGGACATCTTCAACTCCCAGGGCAGAGTTGTAAAAATGTCTGAATTGATGGAAAATAGCAAATCAAGCACACTTAATCCAGATGACCCTCAAGGACCTTGTAAGACAAAGCATGGCAATGAGGACACATGGTCCCTTTTGTGCCTGACTTGCAGGGTGTAAAGAGGCTTTTTTAAGACAATTTTCCTTTCTTTTTTTTTCCGTTTTTTCTTTTTCTGTCTCTGAGACAGGGTCTCACTCTGTCACCCAGGCTGGTGTGCAGTGACGTGATTACGGCTCACTGCAGCCTTGACTTCCCCAAGCTCAAGTCAGGTGATCCTCCAACCATAGCCTTCTGAAGAGTTGGGACTACAAGCATGTGCCACCACACACAGCTAATTTTTGTATTTTTTGTAAAGACAGGTCTCCCCATGTTGTCCAGGCTGCTCTCGAACTCCTGGGCTCAAGTAGTCCACCTGTTTAGACTTCCCAAAGTGCTAGGATTACAGGCCTGAGCAACTGTGCCCAGCCAACAGGATTTTCTTAAGTGGGTTCTAAGTGCAAACATCAGCCTTGACATTAGAAACAGGGGCAAGAGAGGAAACACATCTAATTATTGTGTGCATTAAGTACTATCCATTTTAATAAAAATAAGATAACACTATAGCATGGAGTCACTATAGCATGGAATTGAGACTCCATTGGTTGACAGCTCTTCCTGTACCTCTCTATGTGCCTAGAACTGAGCCAGATGGTAGGACAGCCAACTTTACAAAGGATTCCCTCAGGGTCAGCTCAGAGCAGTGGAAGGATCCTGCCCTTTGGGGCTTGAGAAGAAGTTTCACATCCTGATTCTGGGACTTTTCATATCACAGAAAAGTCTCAGATGTCTCTCTCAGACCAATATTGGTTTTTAAATAGAGATGATAATTTTCCTTGAACATTAAAAAGGAGATTAAATTAGGAAGTATATGGAACAGCACAGCATGGTAACTGAAACAGTAGGTACAAAAACGAATTGGATCTTTTTCTGAAACATAAGTGTACAAAGCTGAACAGGTAATAAGTATGTTTTGCCATCATTGTTTATAATGATGAAAACTTTTCCAATAGCTAAATGACTGCTAATAGGGATTGGTCACATAAGTGATATACATGCATAGAATGAAATATGGTAGCAGCCACAGACAATCATGGCATTCGCTGACCTGAACAAACATTCACACCTTATTTGATTTAAAAAAAAAAAAAGAGGGCCGGGCACAGTGGCTCATGCCTGTAATTCCGGCACTTTAGGAGGCCAAGGCGGGCGGATCACAAGGTCAGGAGGTTGAGACCATCCTGGCCAACATGGTGAAACCCTGTCTCTCAAAGTACAAAATTAGCCAGGCGTGGTGGCACATGCTTGTAATCCCAGCTACTTAGGAAGCTGAGGCAGGAGAATCGCTTGCACCTGGGAAGTGGAGGTTGCAGTGAGCCGAGATTGCGCCACTGCACTCCAGCCTGGGCAGCAAGAGTGAAACTCCACCTCAAAAAAAAAAAAGCAAAATCTGTGAAGCCTCTAATCACATATGTGAAAGGATAAACCCCAGTAGCTCCCTAGTGGAGACTTCAAGCCCTTCTCTCCCGACTTTGCCTTCCCCTGCCAGTGAGTGTGTCTCTGATTGCAGGTGAATACCCCAGAGCTGGCTCCCCCAATGCCCTGTCAGTCCTAGACCGCAATGCAGTAGTGAAGCAGGAGCGCCTGGAGGATGTGGTGGAAGGCTGTAACTATCGGGTCAACAACAGCTTGGACCGTGAGTACAGACCACTGCCCATTCAGGTGATCATCAGTTCTGCGAAGAAGAAGGTTGGTCAGAAGATGGAGTACAGTATTGTGAGAAGGAACTGTGAGCACTTTGTTACCAAGCTGAGATATGGCAAGTCCCGCTGTAAACAGGTAAGGACCTCTCTGGATGATCCATCTCCCCTAGGGATGTCTGCTTGGGGCTGCGCTCACTGCATCACCATGAATGATGCAAATGTAGCCTCTTAGAGACCCACTGGCTGAAAGTCAGGACCTCTGAGCTCCAATGCCAGATCTGCTTCTAATCCACAGAGGGTCTGTGGACAGGTCCCTTCCCCTCCAGGCCTCTCCATGTGCAGAGGAGGGGGTGGATGGAGGACCTCTGAGGATCCTTCCCCTTTAAAGCCTACGCTGAAAATGGCTCCTGAAGTTCTGTGGGTCATCAGGAGAATCTGGGCCAACGCAGGTCCATGACAGGTCCCATAACCCCCCAAAGAGCACTCAGGACACTCAGGGTCCGTGAACCTATGTAAGAGCTCAAGAACATTTGTGCGTAAGATCTGCGCACAGCCTCTATCCCTTCCTCCTTCATAGTGTTTCACATTTCTTGCCCCAAAACACAACTAATAAGTGGCAGAACCAGGATTCAAACCCCAGCTGTCCCCTTCTAGAGTCTCTGCCTGTGATGCCGGCCCAGCAGCAGCTCAGGGCCCTTAGCCTGCATGACTGAATGGATGGGGGCCCTTGCTGAGAGGGGCATGATGGCAGAAGGAGAGGCTTTGGGGAAGGAAAACAAGAGTTTGGTGTGGTATGTGATGTCTGAGGCGCCCCACTAGAGGCCCAGGTGGAGATAAGGCATGGAGTTGGAGTTCAGGCTGAAGTAGGGCTGGACGTTTCCAGGCTGCAGTTGGGAATGGTACACAGTGACCCCAAGGCACGCACATGGCCATGGCCTCCCTAAGTCTCCCCTCAGCTTCTGCCACAGCCCTCCCTGTGCAAAGGTGTAGCTCAGGTAGGACCCAGGCTGCAAACCAATCCCCAGTCTGACCCCTGGCACTCTGACCCTGGGAAGCGAGGCACAACCCTTTTTCCTTGCCCCAAATCAGAACAGATGTCCTCACCTGGAAGCTGTCTCAAAAGGATCTCATCGGCCCATTCTCAGGACAAGCCCGGACAAGCCCAACACCAAGAAGTGGTCACAGCCCAGAAAAATGGAGACCCTGGGGACACAGCCAACGGCTTCTCTGGGAGAGGATTCTGAGCCAGCCAGCGGGGAGGGGAGAAGACAGGAGATGCCAGGCCGTAGGGGAGGCAGGAGAGCAAGGAGAGGGAGAGGAGTCCCAGGCCCTTGGGAGGGAGAAAGTGCCAGCGTGGGCTTGCTGTGAATCTCAACAAAATCTGCTTGCTTTGCAGGTGGAAAGCACGGTTGACAAAGGTGTGCTCATGATTATTCTTGGAATTGTTCTTGGAAGCTCTTTTGCGATTGGGAGATACCTATACCAGTGACAGCCTGAAGCAGTCACAATATCCTGTGTTAGAAGCAGCTGTGGAGGTCCCAGTGGAGATGGGCCTCCCCACGCCTCCAGTAGCCTGACCCTTGCTCTCTGTCTCGGGCTGTCTCTAGCTCCTTTCCTCTCTGTTTCCTTCTCTTGCTGGCTAAAGGATGATCTAATTGAAACAAGACTGAAGGATCAATAAACATCCATTTACCCCTTCAGAAGGGACTTCTACCATGTTTTTGTAGACTTCTAAATTACAAAGGAGGAAAGTAACATTGAGTGAACACCTACTGGGTAGTTCCAGCAATTTCTAGCTGTGTGACCTTAGAGAAGGCTCTTGATTCTCAGAACCTCAGTTATTTCATGTCAGGTGATGTCGGGAGAATCACATAAGATGAGGCATACAAGACACCCAGCACCATGTCTGATACGTAACAGATGTTCAGTGAATTGTCTCCGTCATTCTACACAGACATAACATCGACGTAATTGCATGTCACTAATTTTACTCTCAGGAAGGTGAAAAAAACTTAATTACCTCCCAGTATAGTCTCACGGGGTGCTTAAATCCCCTGACATCTACCGGCATCTTCCCAGTTACCTCCTTCACCTGGCCCTCTTTTTAGAAATTTCTCTTTTCTTCTTTTAGTTCAAAGGTCTGAGTTCTCACCCACCTGTGACTACAAGATGGAGTAATATTCTTTCCATGCCCAAACTGCCATAGCTCAAGCTGGTCCTGGGGGGAATGCTGAGAATTAGCTACCTCTACTACCTCTACTACCTCCCTCCACTACTTCCAGCATGCCCTGGGTGTGGTCCCAGAAGTGCCCAGGTCCCCATGTTTCTACGCTTCCTCACTCCAGCCCCTGCCACCAGTGACCCTACTCAATGGCCACTTCCATGGGGTCACTGCAGCCACCATCATTCTTGCTTCAGGACTGGGGACATCACCCTCTCCTGGGCTGTACTTTTTTATGCGTGAGCAACCCGGTTGGTACATTAATTCCCCCAACACAATGGAGACCAGGCTGTATGTAATGATTAATGAGACTCCCCTGGAAGCTCAGGGCTATTGGAAGGTTGAAGAACAAAGAGAACAACTTATTGCTACAATTAGAGGGGGCTCTGCTCAGATTTCTGGCTGAAATCCCAGGCTCCATTTGGGGATTGCAGAAGCATCCATGCCTGCCTTGCTCCAGGGCTACCTCCATATCAGAGGGCCCACCTGCTCTACACAGAATCCAGGCCCAGCAAGAGAAGAAGGCTTTCTCACTTCTTGTGATCTAAGACTTACCTTCCCAGACTTCATTGCATGTCCAGGATCAATTGTTCCAGTGTGCTGGACGATGGAAGCATCCAGGCCCTTCCAAGGTGTGCTTGGCCTCCATGACTAGGTCAAATCCCCATTAGGAGTCTCAGGCGTCCATGTACCTGCACTTCATGTGGTTCTCAGAGTTGCAATGAACACTGATCCATGTGGTTATTTTACTAATGTGTCTTTCCCTGCCAGAATTTTGGGGGCAGTACAAGTTTGGTACCATTGGGACCATAGCATCAAGCACAACAGCTAACTTACTATAAGCACTCAATAGACAATAGATTACAAGCCAAGCACAGTAGCATGCACCTGTAATCCCAGCACTTGAGAGATTGTGGCAGGAGGATTGCTTGAGCCCAGGAGTTCGAGATCAGCCTGGGCAATATAGTGAGATCCCATTTCTTAAAAAGAAAAAAAGATAGTGGTTTACTTAATTAATAAATTTATTAGTAAAGAAAAACAGGGCCAGGCACAGGGGCACACAAAGTACTGTAATTCCAGTACTTTGGGAGGCCAAAGGAGGTTTTGAGCTCCTTGGAGCTCAGAAGTTCAAGGCCAGCATAGGTAACAACAGGGTCAACATAGTAAGACCCTGTCTCTACAAAAAATAAAAATTAAAAATTAAAAAAGATTAGCCAGGTGTGGTGGCACGTGGCAGAGCAGGAGCATCACCATCTTGGACAAACACCACCATGCTAAGTTCCCTTCAATTAAAAAACTGCCTCTCACTGCAAGATCTGGAAAAAAAAAAAAAAATGCCTACATCCAGCCCAAAAACATCAGCCTAATGACTAATGTCAGTGTAACCAGAAATATTCCAACCCTGAGATAAACCCATTTTTTCCAACCAGAAACATGCCAACCCAAGATAGCCTCTCTTCTGCTCAGAGACATTTTAACCCTGCAATAAACTTTCCCTCACATAGAAACATTTCAAACCTAGGATAAGCTCCCCACTTCCTAAACTCTTAAATATCCTTAGTTTGTAAGAACATTCCTGACTGAAATCAACCAGAAGCCCCTCTCAGGTTGATTCTTGAAATAAACCTGTCTTTGACTGTTGAGCTGCTTTTTGTGTTTCTTTCCTTTCTTTAACTCTTACAGCATGTGCCTGTAGTCGCAGTTAAGAGGTTGAGGCAGAAGAATCATTTGAGACCAGGAGTTCAAATCTGCAATGAGCTATAATCATACCACTGCACTCCAGCCTCAGCCACAGCCTGAGA